ACTTGACCCTTTCAGAGGTTTAACTGTATAGTATATCAGTGCTTAAGAATTAGCTCTAAAGAGCTCTTATTTACCTATTTCAGCATTAATTCATATACATGCTTATTAGATACGTAAACATACCAGTTTTATAATTGTGAAATATTGTTAGTTACAGATTTTAAAAGCAGCCATTAAGCTTTGATTTTCTATTGATCTACCACTTCTAGATGTTTCCTACTTTTTATTGCACATCTTAGATAGCATTCACTGGATTGGAATGGAAATTGTATGAGAACAAGCATGGCCAATTGGGTAAGCTGAAAGCATTATCTAGGGCCAGGTCATATTTGTTGTGATCCATGTGACACAAAGTCCTGTTGTGCTTGTATGAACCAATGCCTTTAGATGCCACTGCACAAGAATGAAGGTGGACAAATGAAAATCATCTAGATCAAGGCACCAGCTTGTAAATCCAGTGCTTCCAAACAACTCTGGGCTCACTTCTAGAAGTAATACAGGATACTGCAGGTATCAGGTAGATCCAGATCCGAGTCTTTTTCCTTTCCAGCAGCTGCCAGCTGCCTTGGAGGCACTTGTAACTGGAACATGGTGGATGTAGCCTTCTGAAGAAGTGAACTTGAGCCTCTGCTTGGGTTATGTCATTTTAGGACACTGATGAGCACACAAGGGCTTTCAAGCTGTCCATTGATGGAATAATTACATATAGTTTCCAAAGGCTGGTAATGAGCTGGCAAGATGTGTGACTGGAGGCATTGTAAGAGCAAAGTAGACAGGGATGGGGCAGCAGATTGTTTCCTTGAATATTCTGCCTCCTGGTGCTTGCCTAAACATATTGCTGTGACACTATTTTAAATGTTGACATTCTCAGATTGTGATTTATGTTCCCCTAAAAAAAGGCAGCAGGGATTCGATGGGGTGTAATGGAAAACTCTGGATTGTAAATGTGCTGCTTGTGCTCACCATCATGATGAAAAAAGGCAGAGATAACGCATAGTTATGGGGAAGCTGATAGGAGTAATGAGAACTAATCCAGCTGAATTGTTTACAATTAGGGCCATTTTCTGTAATGTTATTCCAAAGTGCCCACATTTATTTTAAGCCAAATGGCAGTGAAATGACAATGTTTTAAGGTCTTTGAAGTAAATTAGAAAGTAGAATAAATTGACATTAGTCCTTAAATCTTTCCATGCCATACAAGTATTCCTGTGATCCTGGACAGAAGCTCTTGCCTGACCTTTGTAAAGTGATCATAGTGGATGAAAAGCAGAAAATAGATATAATATTTTCCCTCTTTGAAATCACATTTAGGAAAGAGATATAAGCATAACAGTTAATATTGGTGCAGGATGAAAACATGTCTTTACATTTTAAGAAAGTAATGAACATTACAGTACATTTTCTTGATGCAGTTCTTGTGGGAATTTTATCTGGCAGTGATACTAGATACAAAATGTGCTGTAAGACTTTGAGAGAACAACAGAATTCATAGAATCATAGTAGAGTTGGAAGGGGTCAGAAGGCTTCAGGGTCCAACCCCCTGCTCAGCATAGGCTCCTAGTTAAGCCATTCCTCTCAAACAGCTGTCTAGTTGCATCTTGAATGCCTCTAGTGTGGGAAAGCCCACAACCTCCCTTGGTAATTGATTCCATTGTACTGCTTTAACAGTCAGGAAATTTTTCCTGATATCTATCCGGAATCTGGCTTCCTGTGACTTGAGCCCATTGTTCTATGTCCTGCAGATCCGGTCCTTCCTTCAAGTACTTGGAGAAGTGCTATCATATCTCACCTCAGTCTTCTCTTTCGAGACTGAACATGCCCAGTTCTCCCAATCTTTCCTCACAGAGCTGTTTCCCTGGATCATCCTTGTTGCCCTCCTCTGAACCCTTTCCAGCTTGTCTGCTTCTTTATACTGTCATGCCCTGAACTCTGTTCCTGTCTACTGAGAAGCAAGTCCCACTGAGTTCACAGCCAAGTGTGCAGAGGACTGTAAACCAGACTCACACAACCCAAGACTACCCTTGACTACAGTTGGCCCAAGGCCTTGACTACAGTTCCTTTGTGGCTCCTACCTCTGCACCCATTTCTCACCTTTTACACTGCCGTAGTTGTCGTGACTACCCCTTCTGCCACAACTGATTGCTAGCCCTCCCTCCAGAAATCCTATCAAAGATTTCTCTTTCCTCATTGGTAGCAGCAGCAATGAAAGATCAATCAGCACCATGATCACTGGAGAGCAAGAAAGAGGGTATGCACATGTGGGTATATATGTGTTTATGCATATGCAGCTGTTTCTTGAACCAGGCCCTCCAGACAGAAAAGGCTATGCTTTCTCCCATTGTAAATATGACAAAATACTGACAGCACATCCTGATATATGTCTTAGAAGCAGGCCTTGCTGAGTTAATGGGTCTTACTCCTGAATAACTGGGTACAGGATTACAGTTCTTCAACTTAACATACATATTGTGAAAAAATAAGGGACTATGATCTTCGCACCTGAATTTGTGCAACAGAGACAATATCAGCACTATAGATGTTCTAATCGTAACACCCACACACTTCCTTTGCTGAGCAAAAGTTTTTCTTCTAGATCGGCATGTTTAAAATTAGCCTGAAGGTCGATTCTGAGCGGAAATACCCTTGCCACAGTACATGCTGGAAATGTTTGGTGGAGTTGGCTTTTCTTTTCTCTCTTGCACCAGAACAACATGGATTTAGTAAAATCGTTGTTCTCAAAATTAACAGAGTTCAGGGAAAAATAAGAGCTCACTTTCAGGACATGATTCTATTTGGAGGTCAGACTTCCTAACCTGGTGGAGTCCAGATGCTTTGCATCACGACTCCCATAAATCCAAGGCATCTAATGGTCAGAAATTATGAGTTGTATCTAAAACATCTGGAAGGTGCCAGATTGGGGAAGGCTGATATACACAAATATAACCAACCCTTCAACATGAAGGGCAGCATGTATGACTGATACAGGGGCTAAGAACTTACTTGCAGCCATAATCAACTAGCCTTGGGCACTGACCAGAAAGTACAGGGTGAATCTGGGAAGGCGGATAAGGGCTGTTTTACTGGCACAGAATTGTTTCTATTGGTTATAGATCACTACCCACTCCTGTGGCATTAGAACTGCAGTCAGGGTCCACAGAAGTGCTGAGTTATCCTTGAGTTGTTCCTACAGATGCTTGGATGTCTCCCATTTTCATCATACCCCTCCAAGAATCTCCCCTGTGGTGAATTTGTGATGCATCTTTTAATATAAATGTTTTCAGACATGTTTTGCTTGTGTTCTTCAAGGCATTGCTTATCTTACAAGCAAAAGTTGCTGTGCTCCTTTGAGTCACAGGATTTCCCTCCCCACAAACATTTTTGCAGTAAGGTATGTTGAAGCCAGAGTACTATGCATGTCTTTAATCCAACAGAATTTTAAGCATGGTTATACTGTATGTTCATGACAGGGATGGACAGAAGGTAGCTTGGGATCCATTAGTAGATCTCTGGGCAAGTTTTTGTAGCTCGCGACCCAACTGCTTAACAAGAGCAAGAGTATAAAAGCTTCCCAACCCCCTCTAAGTTAGTCTCTAACTGAAAAACATGAGTAGATTTTTATTTGAACGGACTATGAGCATACTTCTAACCACAAAAACAGATTCTTGGTCTACCTGTGTACTCAAAGACACCCCCATTCCTTGATTCTAGGAGTATGTCTGCTTTCCTGAACTACTATTTTGCAACTGGCTCCAACTTGAACTTCTAGGAAAGAAAATTAAGAAGATCTTGAAAGCCTGATGTCTGTCTACTGCAGCCTTACGATTTCAGTGCGAAGGATGCAAGTCATATATACATTACATGGGTCTCAAACCAGCTGACACATGGCAAGACAGTGCAGGCAACATTAAAAAGATGCATTTTAAGAGAACTGTTGATAACATAACAGATACCTGCAAAATCCCACAACAAAACGTTTTTAGAGCCATTGCATTGCTGAGAACACATTTACACAGTATCAGAAGTGAATGGTATAAGCCAAGGGTTTTCAACCTGGTGCCCACAAGACCAGTTGAGGCACCAGCCCAGCTATTTCACACCATGCAAGTGAATGGAGCAATTCCCCATTCTCTTGCCATCCTGTTTGCTGAAAAATAGCTAGATAGGGTTAAAGTCCACTCCCCTCCAAGCACCCTTGAAAAGTCAGCATGTGTAATACAAACACAGGGTACACATTCATGTATGTGTATTACAGATAAGGGTGTGTGAGTAGTCCCCACATATTTAATATGACCCCCATCCCCCAAGATCTAATTTGTGGCAGCACCCTGGCTATTTTTTCAAAAGCCAAAGGTGCCAGTGAGTATAAAAGGGCCAGAAACCCCTGGTGTAGTCCATATATTGCTAGATATTGCTGTCCACAAAAAATGACACTTTCTTTTCCTATCCATCCAACCTAAGCAACCATATGAAGTAACCTTACAGAGTGTAAGTGGCACATACTGCATGACACAGACTTTCCACATTAAAAAAACAGAACTGGCATAGCAATGCGAACAACTCCTTACCTGGTAAGTTAAGCATTTCAGGACAGATTCCGAAATGTTTTTAAACGCTGATCAAGCAGATGCTGTCCCAGGTAAAATCAGGGAGCATATCAATAGTGACTGCACTTTGAATGCTGGAATTGCAACTTGTGGGTTGGGTTTCACAGAGCAATGAGGCATCTAGGCTATTAAATCCTGCCAGTGCTATCTTGAGGATATGGGAGAAGATGATCAGGCGCTCTAACAAAAGGCAATGAAACAAATGTGTTGTATTCCCCATTTTCTGTCAGGATTAATCTACAAATGGCACACTGGAGCAGGCTACTTAAAAAACACGTAGTTCAGAACCACACAGAGCAATTGACTTCCTAGTCATATGCAGGTTCAGAAACATGCAGTGCTGACCTGGGTGTATCCCACAAGGAGTAAAACAGTGCCTTACAAGAAGCACATGTATGAGCCACAGTGTTTTTATTGAGTGCTTTAATAATACAAGTGTACATCAACTGATCCACAGTCAAAAGTGGCAGGTCCCTAAGAAATTTACAAGCACTTTTTATTTTAAGTAAATCAAAATACATATCTGGTTTAACCCAGTAGCCTTGTATTTGGGAAACAGAAGGCTAGTGTTAAAACACAGTCTTAGTAATGCACAGTGATTCTTGATTTTATGCTTTTTATACAAAACCTGTTCCCAGTAGCATGCACCCACCATTAGAGACTTCCGTACAAAAAAATAACCCTAAACACTACATTTAAGTAGAAACAAGATAAAGTTCTGTTTGTTTGCTTGTTCTTCCCAAAGACACACAAAAGAAAAAAAATACATTAATACAAAGCTTTGCGATAAAGCTCTATACTATTACAGATCCAACATTCCTTGCACTGTAATCCAAAATTCCCAATCCATATTTTCAAGATACAACTTTCAAGTTGAACAGAAAAAATAAAATAAACAATAAAAATAAAGGGGGGAGGAAGGGAGCCAACGTTGTCACAAAATGCTTCAAAATGTAATAAAAATAAGGGACGGGGGGCTATTGATGCACTTGGTGAATGTGCTTGCACAGGTCCAGCATGCTGTACAGCAGACTCCTATGTAGCGTATCTCTTGGTCCACTGTCTGGCCATCCTGTCATGCTCTGCTCTGTTAGTCATGTACTGAGTAGCAATACTTCCAACCAGCGGGTCAGCTGCAAAGAAAGCAAAACAGTCAAGCACTTGCAAACTCGAAATGCTATGCTTACTCTGAGTGTAAGACAAAGGCAATATCCTTTTCCTCACACGATGTCAAATTGAATTTAGGATAAAGGGAGAACAGAGCTAGACTTGTGCACTTGCAAGTCTGCCTGCGCTCTGGTCTGGTTTGAGGGCTTGCTCGCTGAGTTGTGCTGCTGTGTTTCAGCTTCAAAATCTGCCCATTACACCATCATACGCATAGGTCACTGCAACATCAGCCCATTTGGCAGCATGTGAAGCAGGCAGAGCTAACAGTATTATGTAAGTGAAGCCCTGCAAATAAATGCTGAAATGCGGAGGGCTTCTATTCAGGGTTACATCTGCTCCATTCATTCACCTCTGGTTTCCTTTATTTCCCTTCAGCATTTTTGTGCTGAGGTGGGAGGTTCTTGTCTCATTGAGGAATTTTAGATTTCATTGCTCTATTTTTGTTTTGTGGGGTAGATTAGGAAGACAAACTTGTGCCTAACCCCAGCTAACTTAAAAGTGTGGGTTCCTGTTTTGATGTCTACAAGCAGCATTTTTTTAATTCCTTGGGGACATTTTAAAATATTTTCTTAATGTGTAACTGGAAATGACCTATCCAATGAGGTAGTTCCTTCTACACATTTTAGGTCTGCATCTCTCTTCCTTTCTCCTTTCTTTTCAGCTGCTCCTTCAATTCTCCCTCCCACCTGATTGTTTTTGCCTCTTAGTCAATCAACATACCATGCCACTGAGTCATCATGTGTCTGTTCATTCTTCAACAGGGTCTTTTTCTTACTTTTTCTAGGTATCTGCAAAGCTCAGGGTTACATCAAGTCAGTGACTACAGTGGTACCTCGGCTCACGAACGCCTCAGTTCACTACCAAATCGGGTCGCAAACAAAAATTTCATTAAAAAATTGAATTAGGTCACGAATTCAGCATTGGGTGGCAGCCGCACTCACGGCCATCTCCTCCCCTCCTTGAGTGGGGAGATGGCCATGATCGTGCTTGGGGCGTGGGGGGGGGG